TCGTAGTCCCCAATGCGCATGTCCCATTTCCATCCTGGGCTTCACCTGCAAGGGTTTTGAAATGGTTTGCAAGGATGTGTTTAACTTGGTTTTGGGTGCTGCAGGGGGTGGACCGGAGGAGTGCACTTGCCACCCTTGCCGGCTTCCTTGCTGGAGTCTCCTTCTCCAGATCGGCAGAGGCTGCTATTGACTCCAGTGCACTGCTGGAGAAATACGAGAAGACCAAAGGGAAAGCTGCAGCCACCAAAGGACCTGGGAAAAAGGCTCCCACTGCTCCAGCTGCAAAGCCAGCACCAGTGGCAGCTCCAAGAACAATGCCGAATCCCAAACCAGGATCTGTTTTGCCCCCTCCACCATCTCCCACTCCACCGCCTGCTCCTAAGCCAGCGGCCGCTCCTAAACCAGCGGCCGCTCCTAAACCAGTGCCTGCTCCTGAACCAGCGCCTGTGGTGCAGCCACCACCTGCTGAGAAAGCAGCAGCCAGTGCAGGTACCTCATCTCCATTTGCATCCACCTTTGTTCGTTGTGTGCACTTGTATTGAAATTTTGTCATTCTCGTTTCCCAGTTCAGGAGGTGCTCAAGGCAATGCACTGTGGACTATAAGGGATGTCTTGTTGGCTTATGGCACTTGGAATATCTTCTATTCTGTGCTTTCCCCACTCCATGCAAAGATCTTGCCATGATCTTCCATGCCATGCAAAGAATCTGCCAGTGTGGGAGGATGTCCATTCTGTGACCTATTTGTTCTTCGCTGTGGAGACAAGACTCAAGGGCACTTAAGCCGTGTCGAACTTTCTTGGCAGGGGCAGCATCACCATCAGGATTCAGCCCTGCTGTGTTGGGTGGGGCTGCAGCCCTGATCGCAGGGGCACTTGCCTTGGGAAACTCTTCTAAGGATTCTGCCAGAGCCCCAAGGAAGGTGAGACCAATGTCACAAGGCGTGGCATGGGCAGCGAAGTCCTGCCTGTATGCGAAACAGTCTCTGGGCCGACAGGGGACTCGCCAGGCATGGAAATCCTTGCTTGCATGTCCCGGATTTGGACACTGTCTGCCCATGCGCCTTCGAGGCGGTGATGAGCAGCGCCGCATCCTCAATGTGTGCCACACTCTGCACTCATTGGCTCTGCTACATATGATCATAGTCCTGTGGAGTGAATCTCGATGCCCTGTGTACACCAATGGAATGGATGCACAGACTTACGAATTTTTGATTCCAATGGAATGAAGATTGCATCTGCTTGGTGCTTAGTCCCATCTTGCTGCTTGTGTGGATGGCTGCCATCCCAACTATGTTCCACTGCCTTCTGTTCGCAGATGCAGGGAACGATGGTGACACAGCGGCCAGTGAAGAAAGCTCCCATTCGCTCGGGCACTGTCGCAGTTGGCAGGTATGCAGCCCCCAAGCAGCCTGCCATCCGCCCGAAACCCAAGAAGGTCATCCCAAAGCCGCCACCCAAGAAGGTGGTCAAGCCAGCTGTGAAAAAGCCTGCTCCTCCAAAGCGGTATACACCTCCAAAGAGGGCGGCGCCTCCCAAGCGCAAGGCGCCCACAACCAAGCCTGACTCAAAGGGCGGCAGCAGCCTGGTCCCTGTGGTTGGCTTCGGTCTGGCCCTCGCAGCGGGCCTCGTGTTCCTGAGCCCAGGAACAAAGACCGCCAAGAAGAGCCCTCCAGCTGCAAAGGCGCCCAAGCCGGCTGCCGTCCAGAAAGCTGCGCCTGTGGCTCCTCCACCAGTTGTGGCCTCCCCTCCAAAGCCTGCCCCACCCGTCCAGGCCACACCCACCCCAGCCCCACCTCCTGCCCCCAAGCCCGCTGCCAGCAAGCCCAAACCGAAGCCAAGCGCAGCAAAGAGGAAACAAATCGTTGTGGCGGCAAAGAAGAACAAGAGCAGCGGGGTCTCATCCGGGAACATCGCTGGGGGCATCGCTGTCCTGGCTATCGCCGGCAGTGCCCTCTACTTCCTTGGCGATGGCCAGAAGGGCGAGTCAACCACGTCGACGTCCTCTCCGCCCACAGAGGCACCTGCGCCCCCGCCAGTGAAGGAAGAGCCGCAGGTCTATGCGCCTGAAGTGAAGGAGGAGCCCAAGGAGGAAGTCGCAGAAGAGGTTCAGGAGGATGTGGGCGCGGGGAAGGTGGAGGCGCAGGCTGAGGAGGCGCCCGAGGCTGCTTCTGAGGGGCTGAGCGCAGAGGAGGACATCGAGAGGCGGAGGAAGGAAGCGGACTCCTGGATCGAGGCGTACAGGAAGCGCAGCAAGAAGGGGATTTTCGGATTCCTGAAGAGGGACGATTGAGGGCGTCAGGGATTGACTTGACGCGGGGATTGTCGAACGGGGAACAAGCGGGAAGGCCAGGGGATTTCACGCACAGTTCCAGTTTCTGGGCTCCATCGCATCACACACTGGGGAGGAATTCCTGGGATAAGAGCACACAGTTGGCCCGATTTTTGGGAATGTGCATTTCTGTTTGACGGAGAAGGTTTTCTCAAGATTGGCGGCTGCCGTGCTCACTGAAACCATAGCTATTCACGACCGTGTGGCGCCTCGGCAGTGGACTTGCCGCTGTGCAGACGCCAAAGGCGCTGTGGACGGCGCTGTGTTCCCACCAGCAGGCGCCTCCGTCCCCACCCCCACCCTTTTTGTGGAACTTGCATCCACGATTCGGTGACCGGGTGGCGAACGTTTTTCTTTGCGAAAATGCTGCACATCGTGCTAGCGCCTGCCGAATGACAGCAACTTGATGGCGCAACTGTCCCACAAGAAAATATCAGACAGGGGCTCCTGGCAGGCGGGTGCCTCCAAGCTGGCGCCCACGGCGCAAGTCCATTTGACAAATTTGCTAGACTACGTCGGGCGCTATCTGCACACACAGGAAACGATATGTGAATGCCAACAGGACGCTTGAGTCATTCTCATGGGAAGCTTCAATGTGCCTGCCTATGGACTGCGGCGCCCCAATCAGAATATTGGTCTCCTGAGCACTCGCCAGTGAATCGAAGTCGACGTTACAAGAACCCCATTGCTCAGATTGCCTGTGCCTCACTCTCTGGCAGGACGAGAGCCCACAGATGCGCCATCATCGCCAACAAATGCACCGTTTCCCAACCAAACAACGAATTCAAGGGCGGCCTGGTCGACTCCATCACTCCGATCGGCATCTTTCGATCGATTGTGGACCCAGGACGGGGCCGAAACAAAATCCCCGTCCAATGCACCCACCGCCAGGCCTCAGCAGAGCTGCCCGCACCTCCCGCGACCAGCCCCAAAGTCAACACCCGTTGGAGCCCTTCGCTTCTCCCCGGACGCGGCCCTCAGGCCACTTCACGCTCTCACAAACCGCCGGCGCAGCTTGCATCACGATCCAACCCAGGCACACGCAAAGGCCCTTTTCTCCGCGGCGCTACCGCAAGGCCGAGATCCGCCGGCGCGCCTTTGGGCGGCGCGCCCCGGCGGCGCGGCCATCGGCTGGGGGCCGCGGTCTGGCCTCCGCTGCTTTACGGAGTGGCCTCCGGCGAGAGGACGACAAAGACGTCAGCGGGACGTCAGACTCGGCGGCGGGGCGAGGTTCCAGGAGGAGCCCTTTCTCAGGAGGGACCAGAGCGAGCGGAACGTGGAGCCAGAACGGGGGCGGGGATTCAGGGCGCCTGGGGCAGCAGGTCGAAGGGAGGTGATGGGCCTCAGTCGCCGGCGCAGTGCGTGGATCTTCTCCCCCGCCGGCCGGCCGGGGCGTTAGCATGCCCCGCCGCTGGCCGGGCCTGCTGAAGAGCCTCCGGACGTGCCTGGGCGAGGGCGCCGACAGGCCGGCGCCCACGCTGGCCAACTCCGGTCTGACGGAGGACCAGGTGGGGATGGCGGAGTACTGTTTGCGGTGGCTGGGGCTGGAGGGCAGGAGGGATTGCCTGACGAGGGGGGACTTGCTCGCCCTGTGCTACGCCGTTGGGATGAACCCGTCGGAGGACGTGGTGGAGTCGCGGCTGCGAACGATGGGCCTGGGGGGGCGCAGCTTCGCGGAGTTCGCCCACCTGTGGTACGGCCTGATGCTGGACACCGCGGACGAGCCCGTGGTGCTGGCGCGGGCGTTCTACTTCTTCGACAAGGACGGCAACGGCGAGGTGACCACGGAGGAGCTGAAGGCGACGATGGAGGAGCTAGGGGGCATGCTGGGGCCGGGGGAGATCGACCAGTTCATGGCGCTGACGAGGAGCGAGCGCGAGGGCGTGCTGATCTACAGGGACTTCGTCAGGGCGCTGCTGTCGCAGAGGCCCAAGTACCTCCCGCCGGGCCAGCGATGCTCGCCGGGGGGAGGGGACGGCAGCGGGGAGATTCGCTCCGCGCCCAGCGGCGGCTACTGCGAGCTGCAGGCGCCCCTGGATGGCCTCGACCATCGGATGTCCGGAGCGTGGGCGCGCCGAGACGGGGGCGGAGATCCGCGATTGGCTGCCGGCGACCTGCGCCAGTCGGGCCTGAATACGGGCGCCTCGTCGGCCGCCTTGTCACACGACAGGGGCAGCTTGGCGATGGTCTGGCCAGAGCCTCCGGAAGCGAAGGGCCAAGCGGGGGCCGCGGAGGAGCCGCCCGTTGCCGTTGCCCAGGCCCAAAGGTCGGCCGCACGCGAAGCAATCTCGTCGGACGCCGCCCAAACGAGTGGCGGCGAGACGGTGAAGGTAGAGGCGGCGCCTGGAGAGAGCTTGGACCCTGCCCGGGGCAGCAAGGCGATGATCTGGCCCGAGCTGCCAGGAGCGAATGGCCAAGCGGAGGCCGCGGAGGCGTCTGCTGCTGCAGCAACCCAGGGGCGCAGGTCGGCCACCCATGCAGCAATTTCGTCCGATGCCGCCCAGACGAGTGGCGTGGAGGCGGTGAAGGCAGAAGCGGCGCCCGAGACGGGCTTGGGCCCGGGCGGGGGCAGCTTGGGGATGATCTGGGCGGAGCTGCCGGGCGCGAGCATCCAGGAGGCGGCTGCGGAGGCGGCCCCGGTCGCCTCCACCCGGGGCCTCGCGTCGGAGGCGTTCCGAGACTTGAGGCCTTTGGGGCCAGTGTCCGTCATGACGATGAGGCGGCGGTCGGCCCCCAGCGAGGGCAGGTCGCAGGAGGGCGCGCGGAGGCCAAGGGGGGTGTCCCCGCCTTCGGACGCCTGAGGCGGCAAGCCGGGGAGTCCCGTGGCTGTGGGGTGTGGCGGGGAGGAGGTTACGGAGAGTATGGAAGGGGTCATGGGGAGCAGGGGGTGGGGAGGCCGTCATGACCGAATTTAGCCCAGTCGTGTCATAGGCTGCGCGGGGGCGCGTGGGCGGGCGGCGGACCGGAGGCCGGCTGACGCTGAGTGGGCGTGCTTGATGGCGGCAGGGTAGGCGCAGGATTTGTGGAGGCGGGGTCGATGGGCCTGGATGCGAGCCGTCGCCGACGGCTTTGGGTGAACTGCGCGCGCCGGAAGGCGGTGTCCGTCCTGCTGCGACGGGCGGACAGCACCAGGAGATTGGTCCGTTTCTTTAATGCTTTGGCAATTTTATTGAGCCGCTTTCGCAGCTGCTGAACGTGGTGGGATGGGTGCACGTGTGCCCTGTCCGTGAACGCGCGTTAGGCTTCGGCTCTGTTTGGACGATTTGGTCAACTTCCGTGATGTGCCGGCCAACTGGATCGATCAAAGTAGCGGCACTGAATGTGACGCAGTGGTATTCAAAGCAGGTTTTTCTTCTCAGCTCATTCGCCTGCGCCACGGCATTGCTATAGCGTCGCCTGCATTCAGTACTCCAATATGTTTGTCCTGAAGCTTCGTAGAGGCCTATGTTACAGACTTCGATTTATTTGGATTGACACGTTTAAGGTGCCCGACAATCTGGCGCCTCAGTCAAGCTTTCCCAACATAAACCATTGCGGTTCCAGCATCAGTCGCATGGAAATTGAGGAAAATGTTTTTGACTCAACTGAACATGCATTTTTAGTGCAGATGTACTCATGTGCTATATTGTCGACGTGGGTTTTCCAAACAGCGCATCAACATCGGCACGATGCAAACCAGAAGTTCTACCAGAATTACCAGCAGCCAATGTACAGAACCTGCCCAGCATCAAAACTACCTCATGAACGCCTGCTCCAATGGCCACAAGTCAGCCACTTCGCCGAGCCCAATCCCTCGACTTTCTGAAGACATACAAGACGATATTCTGCGAGAATGTTCGCGGCGCAGTCGAGGCAATTCCGCGCACGTCCAGCACTTTATCAGAGCAGTCATCCGACGATGTCGCCAGTCCGGCATTCGAGAGCAATACGCGCCGAGGTGAGATCAAACGAACGGTCAGAAGCATGGAGCATTTCAGGTTCAACATGTTCCGCCCAATTTCGCAATGGAGAAATCGGAGGATGACCGCATAAAGCGTGGTCGTGGGGCTTAGTAATGGGCCATCATTGCCTTAGGTTCTCCCTTCCTTCCATGATGGAAAGAAGGGAGAAATGGGAACCTAATGCGGAGCCTTGGGAGAGGGTCGGTGGTCCCCGTAGAGGACAGAGCGTTGATGCGAGGGAGTGAGCAGTGATCTCATGAACGCCAGCGGGAGGGTGGTTCCAGGTGGAGGCCGGGTGTCGCTACAGGGATACCACTTTGTTGGACGGGACTTCCGCCATGGTTGAAAATACCAAAGGGGGGACCCGGACTTTAGTTGTTGCTGAGAGCCAGGCCAGAGCAGCTGGGGAGGTCGCTTGGGATCTGGCAGCAGGAGCGCCGGACGTGAAGGCCAGACAACACACCAGACTCCAGGACCAGGTTCAGGGAACCGACGAAATCGGGTCGGTCCGCGCACCAAAAACGGGTCTCGTTTGCCCGCAATGCGGAACGCATCCCCGCCACACGGGAGGTGGACGTACCGCGCCCCCCGCGCACCCCACCCCCCCCAATGTACGACGCCGGCACCCACAGCCCCGCCGGTACTTCGCTTCACTCCGCGCCTCCTGCCGAGGATCCCGAGGGCGCCTACTGCCCCCACCCGCACCCGGGGCCCCATCCCGCCCGGCTCGGCGGACTCCCCGCCCCGCCCCCCGCCCTCCGCCAGCTCCCGTCCCCCTCCATGGGCCGCGAGTCGAGCACGGAGGACCCGCCCTGGGCCGATGGGCCCGATCACGGGCCCGCCACGTACCGGTCCTTCACGCAGTCCATCGCCGCGGACCTGGCCGAAAAGTCGCGATCCCAGCTGTACCCCGAGCGGGGCGTGAGCCAGCCGGACGTGGACGGCCGGCGGCTGCGCTTCGGGCGACTGGTGGGCGGCGGCGCGTTCTCGGACGTCTTCGAGGCGGACCACATCCCCGGGCCGGGATTCGACCCGGCGAGGAAGGAGCGCGTGGCCGTCAAGGTGCTCAAGGTGGAGGGCCGGGAGCAGGAGCGCGAGGTGGTGGACTTCGTGCGGGAGGTGCAGATCATGCGCGACCTACCGGAGAGGTGCGCTCGCGCCCCGAGACGTTCATCTCTCGCGTTGAGCTCCGCGAAGGGTGGGGCGCGCGATCCAGGGCGGGCGCCCGGCGGGCCAAGCGCCGCTTTGCGGCTCTGCGGTTGCCCCCGTCGACAAGGAACGCAGAGCGCGAGGAACGCGATCGAAAGCATGATGAGATCGAAACGCGTGATGAGGTGCGCGCGCGTCGAGGCGTTGGTGCGCTGGGTTCGGAGCGGGACTGCGTCGGAGGCGCGCGTGGCCACGGGCCCGGAGACGAAGCCGGGGGAACGGAGTTGCAGAGGGATCGTTGGCGGGCATGTCCCTTAGTGCTCATACAGCCAGCCGTGCATCATGGACCTGCCGCTGTTGTATCAACGCGTGTTGAAATCTCCCAAGCGCGGGACGTGCGATGGCGCACCCCGACTGAGCAAACCGGCAGCGGGTCCCGCTGCGCTCCGCGGCACTGTGGGCGCCACAATCGACAAGAATGCGATCGAAAGCGCGTTGAGAGGTGCGTGCGTGCATGCGCGCGCGCGTGTGTGGGTGTGTGGGTGTGGGGGGTAGGGGGGGAGAAGGCGCGCTGCTTTGGCCACCGCGGGGCGATCTGGGAACTGGGTCGGGTTTGCTCGGGGCGAGCAAAGGGCATCGTTGAATTTGGGCAGGAATCGAGGCGGGTTTGAGGCGGGTCGCGCGGAGCGGCGGGGCCGGCGCGTGGGAAAGTGGCGCCGTGGGCGCGTCGGGGAGTGGTTCGCGCCAGCGCACTGGGCTGGGAGGGTCGAGGGCGGGGCGCGCCTTGACGTCCCAGAGGGCGATGACTTGAGTGCGTCATCATTGCGCTCCTGTGTGGGATGACGGGCTCTCGTCAGACATCGAGGGGCGCAGTGGCTCGCCCGGCGCCGATCCGCTGACGCCGTTCAAGATAAGGGCCTCGCATACGGTACGGATGCCCTGGACGTGTTTTCCCTGAATCCTGGCGCCCGGCCGCCAAGCCTAACCAGTCTGCGTCACCGTCTCCGTACGAGGATCGTACGATACCTGTCGTTTCCGAATATGAAGGTCATGAAGGGGTCGTGAATGTCATGAAAGGTACGGGGGCCCAAGCCCCAAAAAGCTGAAAACCTAAAACCAAGAAATGCGAAAACCTAGCGAAACCTAAACCCAACCCAAGTATGACGTTCGCGACCTTCTTGACCTTCATTGCCTTCATATTCGGAAATGAAGGGTGTCGGACGTTGATGCTCCATATGTGTGGTGTTTGTTTGTTTGTTTGTTTCTTCCTTACATGGATGCATCGACATGATGTCACGGCATCGATCAATGTAACGTACCAACCAGTGTGCAAGGGGCACGTCCAGGCCCAACCATGTAACTGAAAACACGCCTCTGATGGCGGCCACAGCTGCCACCAAACCCATATGTGGTGTGTTTGTCAGCAACAGTGTGGGTCCATTGATCCCATGCGGGTCTTGGTGGAACTTGGGGTGGAATTTTTTCCAAGAAGTGGTGCAACTACTGATTGAAATTCAATCTGTGCCAGCATTCGATGCTGGCAAGGGAATTGGGTGGTGGCATGGATTTTCATGGCGCACCAAGAGGCGGCATAGCTTCAATCCTCGCAGAATCTTTGAAAAGTTAGCAGCTCTTTTGACAAAAAGACATGAACGCACAACCTCGAACCCTAAAAAACTGAACAAAAGATTCCGTGACGTCGTGTTTGGTGTTATTTGGGACTCATGGCACCAGTACATCACGCAAGACATCACACTCGCTGTCCTCGCTTGATGACTCAGCCTGCACCTGTGGAAAAATGTCAAAATCACTTGAAAGTCAAAAAAAACACCAAGGAAAGAAATGGGCATCGTGTTGTTTTGGAAAGTTGTTGAGTAAGAAGTGCATGTTGGGGTGGGCCCTACATTCCTTCACCACACTACGGAATGCATGAACTCCATTATTGAGTAATGTCACTCTCACTCTTTCACAGAAGCTTTCCCATTCTTGGACGTCCCAGACATCCATTCCCCCCAAACACCACCCCGCACCCCACCCCATATCCTTTAGTACCCACCCCCAGGGGAAAATGAAAGACAGTGCGGCCCTTGTAGGCAAATTCGCTGGCACTGCACCACTGCATTCCTGCAGCCAACACCTATCTAGGCCAGATCATCCTGACCCTATCGCCTTTGCCTAATGTGCAGGAGCTACTTTGTTAAGTACCTTGGGGCCGGCAGCCTGGACGCTTGGAACCCCGACATGAAGCACAGGTCGCTGTTCGTGATGATGGAGTACATGAACCAGGGCACCCTGGGGGACCTGCTGGTGCGGCAGATGGCGCGGCCCAGGAGGCCTCTCTACACCAAGGAACAGGCCATCCAGTGGCTCATCCAAATCGCCCGGGCGCTCAATGCCCTCCACAGCGCGACCCCCAAGGTGCGAGACTCCTCTGCGATTGCAGCTGGAAGTGCTGTGCTGCATCAAAGTTGCTAACAAAAGAAACAATCAAGCAAAACGGGTTTCGGCTCGGAAAGCATTCTGCTTTAAGATATTTTTCAAAGCTGAAGAGTTTGGGGGGGCCTTTCGAAGATGGTGTGCTGCATATTGATACCAAGCACTGTATCCTCAACCCAAATATCCCAAATTGGCAGAGCAACTGATGTGTTGTGATTTCGTTCAAGCGATGGAAAATTGTGATGCAACTGAGTCCATTGCCACTTTCTGGGCTCAAGGGCATTTACCTTTCCCTCGACTCAGATCCATTCCAAGAGAAGTCCTCAGGAGAGCTCATTGTCATTGCACTCTTGTTGGCAGTGGTATGTCTTCATGCAACTATGATGCGCATTGTCAAGAGTGTGCTCAAGTTCACATATATGGAGAGTTCTCCTTGAAGCTCAAATGCCAGCCACATCCCAACAGACTGCGCGCCACATGTCGACCCGGATACTATAAGGGCTGGATCTATTTTCTGCAAAGTTGCCATTGCCACTATTCTGCAACCTGCAGGCTTGGTTCTTACGCCGTAAAAACTGATCGTATTTACGTTTTTACGCGTAAAAACAGTTTTTACATTTTTACGCGGCAAAATGCGTAAAAATACGTAAATACGACGTAAAAATTGCCCCGTGTACATAAGGACAGTACATGCAGACTTGTGGAGTCCGGAGACTGGCAGCCAGACGCCCTGGAAGGGGCAGAACACGAGTTCTTGGTAAACGCCATCATCGCCCTTGCCAAAGGCAAGGTGAACATTGTGCTGCGGGTGCTGGAGATGGCGGATGACTAATCATTGTATGCAACTTTCATCGTGTAATCTGGATGTCCCTGGGAGCCGTAAAAACGTAAAAATAGGTGCTTTTGCAAATTTACGTTTTTACGCGTAAAAATGTAAAAGTAAAAACGTAAACGTAAACGTAAAAACCAAGCCTGAGCAATCGAATGAAAGAATTTCGTGGTACATAGGATGTTCTCTCGCATGCTGGCTCGAAGGAGGTCCATTGACTGCGTTCGCTTGATTGCACTGTGGCAGATCTTGCACCGAGATGTGAAGGCCGAGAATATCCTCCTGACAGGTGCTTTCTAACACTGGCAGTTTCCTTCCTTGCCGATGCACCAATAGTGCTTCAGACATGCTGACGAAGACATTTGTTCAATTACCGATTCTGTACGAAGCCTGGTGCGGCATGCTGCCAGATATGCATAATCTGCTCTGTCGGGATAGGCAAGAATGTCAGCTCGTGCCTCATTCACCTCCATTCCCTGAACGCTCCTTGCAACTGCTTCTCCGCTCTAAAAGAGGCAGATTTCAGCAGCTGTCTTGATCGTGATGGGCACACGGAAGCCCTGAGCCTGACGCTGGAGTGTGCTTCTGTGTTGGAACAGAAGAAGCGCCCGGGGAGATTGTGGCCAAACTTGGGGACTTTGGACTTCACACCTGTGTGGCTAAAATCCCAGGGCACAGCAGGTATGCACGGCTGGGTTTCGCTTCCACAGAACGCTGGCTACCGGACCTGGAAATCGCATTGCTGCATTTTTCCACATCTTCTTCTTGCGAGCGAAGCGCTGATGGTTCAAATTTGCAAAATCTTTTATTGGCTGTTGTTCCATGCGCAAAGTAAGGAATTCCAGAACAGCAATAACAAAACAGCAGCTATTATTTTGGCCTAGTTTCAACACAGAGAGCATTATAGGCTGGAGATTGCCTTCAAGTGAACGCTGGGTCATAGAAATCAGTAAACTGTGCAGACTTCCTGAAAACTTAAACATTTGTGCGAAATGAAAGTATGTCGCTTGGGGCAAAATGGGTAGAGGGGATCATCTGACCACAGACGTGCGCACTTGCCCTGGCCAGGGGCGTCCCTGTGGTTCCCAACCAGATCATTTGGGCCAAGGAAGATGGCACGCTGTCCCCTAAATGCCAGATTTTGTTGCCTAAAAACGTGGAGGCTCAGGAAGACGAGCCCTACGAGGCCCGTGGGACGTCCTGGGCATCGGACGCATCCACACGAGGCCTGACGTCTGAGGAAGTCAACTACAGGCTGACGACGCGCGTCGGAAGGTAGGTGGTTTCGCCCTGCCTCGTGACACCCGACATGAATTGGCAAAGCCACTGCACTGGGCCAGTTTCAGGAAGATCAAAGGTGATGGACAGGGCGATTGGATGCACGTGTCTATTCAAGGGCGTTCAGTGCGCGTCAGCCTCGCGTAAGGTGGGATGGCACAGCGAAATTGAATAGCATGGGGGCAGCCTCGCGTCCGCAATGTGTTTGTCATCGATCATAAATTTGGACTTGGAATGTCGCAGATTTGCAGATAATGACGATGGGCGAACATACGCTGTGTCACTCACCGCAGGGACGGCTTTCAAACGTCGGCTATTTCTGCAAATTTGGCATCGATAGTGTGCACTGGGTTGCCGCAGGACCACATCGTGCGTTCGTGAAAGAATTTACGGGTCTAATTCAAATGTTTGGGCCTGAGATTTTGGACCCCATTTTCAGGCATCTCTAACTGGTTTGTGGTGCTCATGTGCGATGGGCGTCAGTAGGACACCGTCAAAGCAATGACATGAAGGCACTGCTCACAAATCCCGAATGATTGTGTCCCATTGATTTTCGACTTGCACGAAGAAAATGAGCACCACTTTCAGTGAATGCGTTCTTGGCACAGTGGCTGCGAATTGCGAACGCGGCATCTTGGCTTTTTCTTTCCACGGCCGGAGTCTTCCGGGCGTTATAACCTGCAGGCTGCATTCCAAGCATGGCTTCTTACTGGCCAACAGACCCTTGAGGCCGGAGCCTATATCTGTAAATCATTGGGTGGCGTTTCTTCGCGTGGCTCGGTATGCCTCATAGCCCACAGGGTGATTGCCTGAAATATGGCCCATATCATCCGGGAGCCAGCATCATGAATTGCTCGAGACCATTTCTGGAATGCTTGCTCTATTCTGGCTGACGCGAGTGCCTTTGTGTGTGCTTCCTTCCATTCGCCGCCTTCTTCACTCATTTCCATACGTCTAGCTACATGTACATGGCCCCGGAAGTGTATCTGGAGGAGATGTACTCAGAGAAGGTGAGCCACAATTATGTACTGTTTTTGCATCGCAAGTATGGTGTATTATTTAGAAATGTCAAGAGAGGGGGGGCGCAAGCACTTGTGGAAACATGACGGGGTCTTCTTTTTCTGGCTTCCCGAGGCTGCCTGCTTTAAACATCAAGGGGTGAAGGGACATGCGATGGGTTGACAGATTCTTGCTGAAGAACTTTCGTGTTTCCTAGAATCGACGACAGCGTCTTCCAGAATATCAGCAAATGCGTGCCGACGCACAGGCCATCCTCTATTTTCAATCGCGCTGTTTCCGCTGTGCTTACTGCACAATGTGGTATTTTGCATAAGGGGAAAATTGTGATTGGTTGGCGTTGGAGCTTCCAGCGCCGACCAAACTTACCTCCTTGCTTTTCGATTTAGAAATCTGCTATTGTTTTCAAAACATTGCAAGCCGTAGCGTCCCAAATACGACACCAAGTTATACTCTTGATTTCTGTCGTATTTGGATGCAATAGAGCCGCCCTTTCACCTTGATCGCACCTCAAGCCTGTTTCCTATGAACATGGTAGGCATCGCATTCATTGCCGTGCTCACCAAGAGTGCGCCTAACGCGCAAGCGCCTGCATGAGATTGCTGCCATGGGTTCATCACAATCTTGCAGGTGTGGAGCCAGCATCTGCTTGGGCCGACTGCGGAATGGTTCGCTCCTCGATTATCGGGCATTGGGACGCGTGATGATGTGCGGGCACTCTGTCATTCCGGCAGAGGTGGAGCGCGCAAGCAGTCGCTTGAATTCGATTCCGAACGAAGCGATGTCTTGGGATGTTTATTCTCTTGCCACGCACCGCGCCCGTTTTCCGGAAACGCTTCTCTCGCCATTTGCGAGTATTTCTGCTCATCTCCACACGACTGTGCTTCCCACGCGACAATCACTAAACACATTGTACTCAGGTGTCGACTATCGATTTACTGCAACAAAGCCCGAGGCAACCCAGTCCATATTGCGCCCATTCGCTTCGCCATACATTACACCACACTGAGCGTGACTCAACCGAAGGGAAGCGCCTGACTGACTTCCCTACCCGTGCCCCGAAAAGCGCGCCAAGGCCAAAGGCGTCAGAAGCACCGGCCCACCTGATGTTCTCCGCCTTGCTCCGACCCACGACACAGCCGCGACAGAAGCCCAATGGGAATGGCCCCAACTGGGGTGGCTTAGGGCCGCGCCGGCCCAACACATGCTGGCACGAGCCCATCGTTGCTGCGCACTTCCTTGTCCTGAAAAATGAAACGGATCGCGGGCCAACGCAGCAGTAGCAAGGACTCTGTCCCGTATTTTGTCGCACAGTTGTTTCATCGGGCACGAATGGATCGGCTTGTCCACGGTTTGATGTCTACCTGCCTGTGCGGCAGGCCGACGTCTTCTCCTTCGGCATGATCATGTACGAGCTGCTGAGCAGTCGCCTCATGCTGGTCGTCTACTCCAAGCTCATGGAGGAGCGCGGCGACAAGCTGGGCGTGCGCGAGTACGCGCGCCGCGTCTCCCGCGGCTGGCGCCCCTCCATCCGCGTCCGCCTCGTGGAGCCCCTCAAGGCGCTCATCGCCGAGTGCTGGTCCCCGGACGCGGCCCTGCGGCCGTCCATGGGCGACGTCATCGTGCGCCTGGAGGACGCCCTGGAACAGGCAAGGGCGGGCCGGCGGCGCGCGTCGAAAGCATCAACGGAAGCTCGGTGCTGGTCCTTGACCGGGATGGAAAAATAAAGCGCGTTGGACGCTGAGGCGGGAGGGTGGTCGTCACATACCTTGGGGGCGGGGAAGAACGGCGGCGGCGGCTTGTCAACGTTGGCCAAAGCAGCGCTAAAGCTGTTGGGGGAGAGCTCTTGAGTGCTTCAAGTGTATCTTAGCAGCATTTGCACGTAAACGTGAATGCATGTGTTAATTTATGGATTCATGTCTTTGATTCGATGTTGTGTGTGCAATAGTATAGCCTTGCAACCTATTTACTTCGACCTAGTGAATGGCACTGATTTGGTACTTTTGGGGAAACCACATTTTACCACGCTCAGCATGAACCCAATGCATCGCAGTGTCGGTTCCCTGAGTCCGCAGTTCCAGTGTCCTGGCATCCGCGCTTACACCTCGAGACGATGGACGTCGCCAATCCGTTCTTAACCTTCTCTCGAGGTGTTTGCCCACAGCGCCCCCGCGCCGTCGCCACCAGGAGGCACCGATGCTGCCTTCGTTGTTCCCGGGCTTCGGTACATTGACAAGTGCACTCGGGCCCGGGAGCAACGAAGGCTGCATTGAATTAAGTCACGCATGACTGAAGGGAAATCCTTACAGGCAACGCGAAAAATTGACACAACTGTCATGTCACGTGTCTCTGCTGAACTCAATCAAAACCAGAGTCCCTCTGAGGACCTCACTGTAATTGGCAAATTAAAGCACGCATGCAATTGAATGCATGCCGGCAACGTCCTGACAGGGAGGCATCGTGGAGGAAGGGGAGGAGGAGGAGGAGGAGGTCGGCACGCTGAGCAGCCTGGCGCGGCGGCTCATGGGCTGGCTGGCGAGCCTGTGGACCACCCGGCGCAACTTGACGTTTCCCTGCGGCGGCAACGCTCTGGGATCGGCGGCGCCGCTGAAGCAGGGCCTGCGGCGGCCGGATCTGGAGGTCATTTCTACGTAGGGGCACGGGCGGAGGAGCGCAAGGCGAGCGCCGCTCGTCGTCCGTAATGGGCGTCGGCGAATTTGTAATGAGGTCGCGGGGTGGGGTGCTGTCAGCAGTTTGGTGGTGACCGGACGCTGCGTGAGCGTTGGGTGTGGGCTAAGCCTCAGTGGGGCGCAGCAAAGCAAGGGTACTTGCTTTGCTGATGGCTGGGGGTCCGAGAGCACTCGTGCAGATGGATTGGGCGTCAGGCGCATTCGCGGACGGCCATTGGTGCAGCGGTGCAGCGGATTCCAGGATGGATTTGGTGCAGGCGCCGTTGGCAGCTTGGATTGCGTCTGTCTTGTGATGGGGGAAGAGCGTGCATTCCATCCTGCGGGTTGTGCATGTGACGAGCGGCCACCTGTACACCTACTTTGTTGGCCATTGGGGCAAGTAGAGTACGATCGAGCGGATCTGTGGGATCAAGAGCTGGGGCTATGTTGAGTCAGAACGGCACTCAGGTGTGGGACCGGACTAGTTATGGTGAGGTGCAGGGGGCAAACTGATGGACGGTTGCGCGGGGGGTGGGTGGGGCGCAACGGCGCCCCCTGGTATTGCTTGCGCTGAATGCCACAAACATGGGGCGGTTCAGTAAGGCGGCCCAGTCTGCTCTCTCTGATCTAACGTAGTCAATATATATTTCTTGCCAGGGGGATGGACAAATTTTTTGGTAGGGGGGCTGGGGGGGCGCGGGGGCTGCTGAGGCACGACAGGGCACGGCCCGTCGCGGATTCTCCTGTATGGTATAAGCAGCTGCCGCAATGAATATCCAGAATGCAGCCCCTCCTGGCCTTTCTTGGGGGATGAGTTTATTGTGCTTGCATTTTGGATGTTGGGGCCGCTGTGTAAGGGCCTCGGGAATGCGATGGGCTGCCTGTCCCCGATGCGCGGCTGGCACAAAGGCGAGAATGGAAGAGTTGCGTTGCCTGCTTGGAACCACGGGCCTCTCCACGAGAACGGATGACGGAAGTACGTACAAGTGCACGGATTGAGAGTCCACGTCATTGTTTTATTGCTTCGGGCTGGCGTATGGAGGGATTTTGTTGAGGTTTGTTGTACAAGGTCGCTTTGGAAAATTGAGTTTGTGCCTGATGGATGCTGCAAATGGATATGTAGGGCTGGAGTGAGATGGCAGTGTTCTGATCGTGGCTAAGAACCAACATTCGTGAATGTGCGCAATGGCTGGATTGTGGCCTGGGCGCCTCCGGCAGCTCGAGTTCAAATCAAAATTCCGGATTGTTGAGTTGCAACCAATTTTACGCCAGGCTTTGTCTCAGCAAGGAATCCTCACTCCTTAGCTATCTTGAGGATGACGTGTTGTGTGTGTGCTGATGCAGCGCATCTGGCCCCCCAGCAATTTCCCTTGTGGTCTGTGGCCACATGCAGGCCTGCTGCAACTCGACATTCGATTGGCAGCTCTCCCGTCCCATTTTAAGAATTTGCTCTTCCCGTTCGCTAGTCAACAAAAAAATGAATAACCTACTATTCTTTGCCTCAGTTATGTATGCATCAATATTCGTGCGCGCGAGTTCCTCATCCATCCCGGTCAACGTTCAAGCTGGCATCGGACACGGTATTTCTGCAATGGTGTTTCCAGCAGGCACACTCGGACATTCAGGATCTTCCATGTTCAGAAGCCTCTCTGCTTCGAAACTTCCGGAAGGTGCTCCGCACACTGCCAGGCAGCAGTGCGGACTTGGGGAAGAGTGGCCACATGTACAAGATGCTGAGCATGTTTGCAAAGCCTGGCGCGGCGCTGCATGCACTAACGGTACTTTCAGACTGTGTCACTTCACTACTTTGCGAACACCGATGTATCAGATGCCCCCACTGGTGACGAAGGCTGGGTCCCGCTTTGCCGCAAATTGAAGCGCGTGCATACCATACAGAGGACAACAGCTGCCAACCGCTGCCACGTGAGCCACACCCAGGAGAGCTTGCGAGCCAGAACTTGATGAACGTGATACATATTGATACTTTATTCTGGTTCTTGTTCATAATGAAAGCTTCTTGTTTTCTGAGCCACGTCGTTGCGCTGCCCATTCGCTAGCTACGCCGAAGGTCCCTTCGACGCAGCAGCGAGTTCTTTCAGTAAAATTTTGCCCGTTTGCTGGATGTCCGGTCGGGTTGCCAACTGGTGGGCAAATCCACCGCACATCGCCGCTTTGCTGGCTGCATGTCCGCTATGGAAAGCCATCCAATTGACACGGCAATGATACTAAATAAGAGATTGGGCGCAGAGAGCCACGCCAACAGAAGCAGATCTCCGAAGTTTAGAAGCGCGCCTTCCCCCTGGTTTGCCAATGGCGCTCTCCTAAACGGCTACGCAGAGGGCTGCCAGTCCGGTGCCTCAGTCGTCGCTGCCTGTCTCCGCCGCGAGCTGCAGGAATGTCTTCCATTCTGAAGTTGCTTCGCCGGGGCTTCAGACTGGACTGCGCCGTGGGTGCCAGCATGTGTCCTCGTCACAAGGCCAGCATGCTTTTCTGCCGCTGGGCCTTTTTGGTTTGCATGAGGGAAGTGATGATGGGCGGCAGCGAGTCTTGGCTCACAAGCGCCTCCCCCGCCTGCCTTTCCAGGCTTTGAGAAGGGGTGGAGACGAGTTTTCTGAGCATCCACAGGGCACGCATTCTCTAGCGGTCAGCTCACCCGCGATGCGCTGGTGGCAAGTGGCTCGACGCGCGACTGAAGGTCTACTGTTTCGCCCATTTATAAGTGATTTGATACACACAACGCAAAAATTCATGTTAAAAGAAAAGATGCACGGGCAACAACATTCTCCATGCTGTATCCCAATGCGATGCATCAGCTTGGAGGAACAAATGCGACGTAAATATGTTATCAATGCGCCTTTTCTGTGTATCATTTCAGAATTTTCGAGAGCTGAGAAAAGACGTAACTTGCATGGAACAGTCAAGACGATCTCATAATATCGCATAACGATCGCATAATGATCTCTTGTCCTTTGTAATACGAAATGAAGCCATGCATTGCATATTTGTCCGAGCATCGAAGCGACTAGAAGAACTAATCATGGACAGGCTCTTCATTTTTGCCGATGAAAGCCTGAGTCATTACTACATTATTGTCTCCAGGCACGCAAGCTCCTGGCACTACGAAAAAAATGGCCAAATAGCATGTGTTCAAACGTGTACAAAGTTTATGGGTTTTGGGTTGTTTTTGTGTCTTCAGCATGCAGACCATTTTTGAAATGCATACATATGTGTTCGCAAACAGTGTTGTTTGGTCCTTTTTCAGATAGTGTAGGCGCGCACGCTGTGGCATCATCTATGCGGCCTGAATTGCATGTACGCGGAAATTGCTGACACCCGCGACTCAGTGTCTGTTTGATTACTGCTCTGAATTTCATTTCTTAACTTTGTTTTCAGCGCGCACCTGTCCTTAAACGTTGCAGATTCTGGAGGTGTTTTAATTTTCTCCAGGAAACCCGGTTGACGGTATCCTTTGCGCTTAGTGAATTCTACAGAGCACGAGAGCAAATCAGCCCTTGGATCAGAGCTCTTCTTTTGCCCGAGCATAATTCCCAACTGGCGAAGCGTGAAAGAACTTAAAACAAATCACGTTCATGAACTCAAAACTTGTGTGATGGCACGCAATGGGATTACATCCAACGCGCGTTTGGACAAAAATGGTGAAAGGCTCAGCGCTTTGTACTTCCTGAGTAAAGGCCTTCTTCCTGAGAGCTGCTCAGAGCACTAAATTCCATTGGTACTGACTTGATTTTCTTTGCATTTAATGCACATCTGGAAGTTGCCATAATGCACAAAGGGCTGCCAGCGCAGCGGCGACATAGGTAAGTCGGTTGCCAGCTCAAAGCTTTGTGGACTCGCAGGATACAGGCTACCCTCACATTTGCAAAGAAATGACCATGAATGGTGATTCATCCAACATTCCACGACACAATGATTTAGTCCGTGGCTAGCTGGTCTTGAAACTCAGGGCATAGGATTGTAGATTAATCAAACTGTTGAATTGGAAAATTGTGTAAATTAGATGATTGACTATTTATATTGATTTAGGAACAAATAATAAACTATGTTTATTGATTCTTGTGCCTCTAATTGAAGGACAAAATTCATTACAAGAACGGACTCAATGTCACAAGAGAGCATTAGAGTCGGTAAGAATGGGTCCCCGAAGCGTTAAATACCAATTTCAACATTAAGTAGTGGGACCAGATCCTTTTTGTCGTTGAGAGAAACAAAATTTTGGTCGGTTGTGAGCAAAAAATTCAGAATCTTACATTATAGAGAACATTGCTGCAAATCTCTAACAAATACTTCATATCTCTGTCAAATGCCGAAGTGCACAACACCTCCAGACACGCAAGCACACGTTTAGATGAAAATTTTGTCGGAAAATGGTTTCATTGACGGAAAAATAATGCGCTCGAAAATATACGACATCTAGTACAGGATGGAGGAAACATTAGATTAAATGTCAGTCACAATTTTGATTCGCGCCACTCTTTGGTGTTTTCACCTGTTTTCTAGCGCTGGATCGACACCCTTTTTCGGCTTTTGGTGGCTGCACGCAATGAACTAATCGAAGCAATCATCTGCCACTTGTCAATTATTAAGTGACCCTTATCTGCTAGATCAATGTACTTCCTGAGTTAGTTGAAAAGGCACTCGGTGCTGGTGCCGTTGTCCTTCCGAAATTATGTGGATCTCGGCCAATGTGCACACCTTTGTACGCACGCACAGCATATGACGTGTTCAGCTTCTGCCGGAGCTTCTTTCCCTGCTGCCTGATGTCATGCAACCGCGTGGGATCGTCGTCGCTGTGAAGGTGGCTCAGCACGGAATCCACAGCGCCTTCTCCAAGCCCACGCTCGTCGACCCACTGCCTTAAAACCAAGCAATCGATGCCCCTTGGTTAATCAGTCCAGGAGAACTCTGCGCGATAGTGAGGGAACCTTTTGCACAGCCTTTGCACCTCCAAACCGATTGTGCTTAATG